GAATCAGCCCCTTGGGGAGTTCAGGCCAGAAGCTGGAATTTGGGAGACCAGAAACTGGCATGCAGGTTTTGGTAAAAAGATGTAAGGAATAGAGAAAAATACTAAAAAGACCAAAAGCCGACTTCTAACTTTTCTAACTCAGCTGTGAGCCACTGTTCCTTGATGAATTCGGGTTGCCAAGATTTCTGTTTCAACAAGTGGCAATGCATTTCAATCGCTACTTACGATCAATAAACTGAGTATAGAATACAAAATAACTCCACAAGAACTTAGGAGAAATGTATTTCAGCTCTTCTATTTAAAATTAACACTGTTACCATGGGATAAGTCGAACCCAAAATACTGTAGGGCTATTTAATTTAGTCACTGCATATAGGTAGGCAGTAATACGAGATTTCAGTTATGATAAAACATATTATGAAACAATAACTAAGGGCAAAGAACCATGAAAACAATTGCACAAGAGGAAATAAAAATACAACGTACATCAGGGCTGATATGCAGCAACCCCAAGTATATGGATATGAGAATATCCAGTAATAATCTTTAGGGATACAGATGTGGGGCACCTGGGTGGCTCGGTCAGTTGAGTGTCCGACTTCAGCTCAGGTCATGATCTCACAGTCTGTGGCTTCAAGCTCCGCATCAGGTTCTGTGCAGGAAGCTCAGAGCCTGGGGCCTGTTTCAGATTCTGTGTCTCCCTCTCTCTCTCTGCCCCTGCCCTGCTCATGCTAGGTCTCTCGCTGTTTCAAAAATAAACAAAAAACTATTAAAAAATGTAAAAAAAAAAAAAAAAAGATACAGATGTATATTAATCAAAGGTCTACTTACAGTATTTCATTAATTAAATCAGTTACATTATCATTTTAAATCCATTATGAATTAATTTAGAAAAAGTGCTTCCTTACTCCCACATTTCATGAAACCATTTTAATCAGACTCTTCAAACTCAGTTATAACATTAGTGTTTAGCTATCACTACTAGGGACACTTTAAAAATACCTCATACAGGGGTGCCTGGCTAGCTCAGTTAGTTAAGCATTCGACTTCGGCTCAGGTCACAATCTCACCTTTTGTGAGTTCGAGCCCTGTACCGACAGCTCAGAGCCTGGAGCCTGCTTGGGATTCTGTGTGTGTCTCTCTCCCTCCCCCACTCGCACTCTGTCTCTCAAAAAAATACATAAGCATTAAAAAAAATTTTTAATAAAATACCTCACACAATTACCTAGGATATATCAGTTTCCATTACTGCTATACAAAGACACAAATTTATTCTCTTACAGTTTTGGAGATCAGAAGTCTGAGGAGAGTCTCCCTGGACTAAAGTGAAGGTGCTGCAAAGCTGTGTTCCCTTCTGGAGCCTGGAAGGAAAATCCGCTACCTCCCCTTTTCCCTTCTCCAACTTCTAGAGGCTGCACACATTCTTTAGCTTCCTGACTCCCTTGCATCTTCAAAACCCACAGTGGTCAGCTGAAACCTTCTCACATCACAAGACCCGGCACTGCCACCTTCTTCTGCTTCTACTATCTAAGGATCCTTGGGATTACCCTGAGCCTACTGGGACAATCTCCGTATTTTACAGTCAGTTGATTAGCAACCTTAATTCCAGCTGCAACCCTAATTCTGGTTTGCCACGTAACTGAATAACGCTCCCAGGTCCTGAGGTATCTTTGTTTGAGGGGAAGGAGCATTATTCTGCCCACCACAGCATATCATCTTTACTTAAACACTTTTTAAAATCTGCATATGATGCTAACTCAGGAAATTACATTTCCATCCCCAAGCCATTTGCAAAACATTAGAATTGCTCTATTTCTTTTTTAAGTAAATTTTAAAAATGTTTTCTACAACAATAGCCAACTCTATCCACCGATAACTGATCTAAGTGCTTTAAACACCTTAACTTGTTCAGTTACAACACACAGTGAAGTAATTCCAAGAGTAATTACTAAATCTGCATTCAATTTCCCCACATCTTTGTACCAATTCTACCTGATGACGTCTAAAAGAAATCCCAGGGGTGCCTGGGTGGCGCAGTTGGGTAACCGGCTGATTCTTGGTTCTGACTCAGGTCATGATCTCACAGGTTTCATGAGTTTGAGCCTTATGTCAAGTTCCATGCTGACAGTGCAGAGTCTGTTGGGGATTCTCTGTCTCCCACTCTCTCTGCCCTGCCCCCACCTGTGCTGTCTCTGTCTCAAAACAAATTTTTATTTTGTTTAATGTTTATTTATTTTGAGAGAGAGAGAGAGAGAGAGAGAGAGAGAGAGAGACCAAACACAGGTGGGGGAGGGGCAGAGAGAGGGAGACACAGAATCCAAAGCAGGCTCCAGGCTCTGAGCTGTCAGCACAGAGCCTGATGCGGGGCTCAAACCCCTGAACCCTGAGATCGTGACCTGAGCTGAAGTCGGATGCTTAACCAACTGAGCCACCCAGGTGCCTCCCCCACAAAATTTTTAATACATACATACATACATAAAATCCCAAAGTAGCATTATCTGAGGTAAATAGAGAATGCCCCCATATGATGATAATTAATAGAGTAAATACACAGTATCTCTTTGCACAATTATAATTTCAGAGAAAAAAATTGCCTGATAATACAAACATGAAGGATGTGTCAAACTTACAATTTAATAAATGAAAATAGGTACTACTTCATATTCACTAAATTACCATGAAATAGCTTCCATTGTATCATTAGATTTGTGATGCACTGCTCCAAGCTGCCTTTACGAAAAGAGCCTTATTCTCACCAGCTGCTGGGAATACTAGCTTCTGGCAATTAGCCCTCAACTATGATTGCACTTTTAGAACCGAAAAAAAGTGCCTTGCATAAGGGCACACACCCTTCCACATACCAGGACCCAGTGATGGATCATCACAGATATAAATGCCCAGCCCCTCATCTCAGGTAGAAAAATCTCTTGAAGGGCCACCCTATCTATCTTCAGAGTTGCCCACAGGCTCAGGTGAAACTTTTGTTTAGATAACATCACAAGGGCACCTGGCTGGCTTAGTCAATGGAGTATGCGACTCGTGATCTTAGGGTGTTATAAGTTTGAGCCTCACACTGGGTGTAGAAATTACTTTAAGAAAAAGCAAAACAACAACAACAACAAAAACTTCTGCACAGCAAAGGAAACAATCAACAAAATTAAAAGGCAACCTAAGGAATGGAAGAAGATATTTGCAAATGACATATCCGATAAAGGGTTAGTATCCAAAATATATAAAGAACTTATACAACTCAACATACACAAAAAACAAATAATCCAATTAAAAATGGGCAGAAGACACGAAGAGACTTTTCTCCAAAGAAGATACACCAATACCCAACAGAAACATGAAATGATGGTCAACATCACTCATCATCAGGGAAATGCAAATCAAAACTACAATATCACCTGACACCTGTCACAATGGTTAAAATCAAAAACACAAGAAACAAGTGTTGGCAAGGAGGTGAAGAAAAAGGAATCCTCTGGTGGATTCCTTTTTCCCATGCAAACCAGTGCAGCTGTGGAAAACAGTATGGGGGTTTCTCAAAATATTAAAAATAAAATTACCATAACATCCAGTAATTGCACTATTAGGTATTTATCCAAAGAATATGAAAACACTAACTCAAAAAGATATATGCACCCCTATGTTTACTGCAGCATTATTTATAATAGTCAAGTTATGGAAACAGCCAATGTGTCCATCAATTGATGAATAAAGATGTATATGTTAAAAATAAAAATAAAAAAAGGAATGAAATCTTGCCATTTGCAACAACATGGATGGAGCTAGAGAGTATAACACAAAGCAAAATAAATCAGAGAAAGACAAATGCCATATTATTTCACCTACGAGTGGAATTTAAGAAACAAAATAAAAGGATCAAGGGGAAAAAAAAGAAAGAGGGACAAACCAAGAAACAGACTCTTAACTATAGAGAACAATCTGATGGTTATTGGCGGGGGTGGGGGGGGTGGTGTTGGAACGGGTGAAATAGGTGAAGGGGATTAAAAGTACACTTATCTTGATGAACACGGGAATAATGTAAAGAATTGTTGAATCACATATTGCACACTTGAAACCAACATAGCAATGTCTGTTAGCTATACTGGAATTAAAATAAAAAAATAAATAATAATAAATAAATAAATAAATTTAAAAATAAAAGAATGAGGGGTGCCTGGATGGTTCAATCACTTAAGGGTCCAACTATGGCTCAGGTCATGATCTCATGGTTCATGAGTTTGAGTCCCATGTAGGGCTCTGTGCTGACAGCTCGAAGTCTGGAACCTGCTTCGGATCCTGTGTCTTCCTCTCTCTCTCTGCCCCTCCTCCCACCCTCTCAAAAATGAATAAAAATTTTAAAAACAATAAAAATACAAAAATGATATTATTTAAAAGGGAAAAAAAGTGATCACACCAAAAAGACTCTGTAAGTATGTATGGTGATGGATGTTAACTAGACTTAACTTGGTGATCACTTTGCAATATATACAGATATCAAACCATTATTTTGTATACCTGAAACTAATATAATGTTATATGTAAATTATATCTTAATAAAAATGTAAACAAAATGATACTATAGAAACATAAATATATTCCAAATAATAAGGGAAAAAAGACATCACAAAACTGTATATCAATTTAAGCTACTTTAAATACATATACATATGGATTAATGACAAAAGAAATTTCTAAAAAATTCTTAGTTTTTAAGGTTAGGATATAAGAATTCAAGATTATTAGTTGTTTAAAATTTACTCAGAAGATATTTATGTTCAATTAATACAAAATAGTAACACTAAATAACTAGATCAATGTAAAATTAAATATACCCTTGGATACCACAGGGATTTGTTACCCTAACAAAACAACTGTATATAAGAAGCATTTATAAATTGTTTTTTGTTGTTACAAAGCACGGCGGGGGGGGGGAAGCACTACAAAGAAACAGCTCCAGAATAAATAAATACACACATACACTAATAACTTACCTGCCACGGGAGGGACAACACCAGAAAAACGCACTGTTGCATGTTCTCCATTAACTTCAACTCGTCGACCAATGACATCTAATGTCGAAGTGTCGTTCATTATAGTATAGCCAGCATCCAAAATATGAGATCTAGGAAGAAAATTACAAAATTGACAAGATATTAATAAAATCCTTAAAAATTTGTTTTCACTTTATTGAGATACTCTTTTTCTTTAATATTTATTTTTTGAGATAGACACACACTCTCTCTCTCTCTCTCACACACACACACACACACACACACACACACACGCACACACAGCATGAGTGGGAGAGGGGCAGAGAGGGAGACACAGAATTTGAAGCAGGCTCCAGGCTGTGAGCTGTCAAGCACAGAGCTCAGCATAGGCCCAAACTCATGAACTGGGAGATCCTGACCTGAGATGAAGTCAGACCCTTAACCAACTGAGCCACCCAGGTGCCCCTTCACTTTAGTGAGATGTTCTTGAGGCCAACACTCTTGACCAATTTAGTCTTCCATATTTTGCTGAAGAGAAGGACCTATAGGTTTATGTGCCACATTCTCATAATTTTATTTTACTTTACCTTCAAACTCTATTTTGATAATGTTTATTTTGAGAGAGAGAGTGTGCACAAGTGAGCAGTAAAGGGGCAGAGAGAGAGGGAGAGAGAGATAATCTCAAGCCGATTCCATGTCATCAGTACAGAGCCCGATGTGGGGCTTGAACCCACAAACTGTGAGATCCTGAGCTAAAACAGAGTCAGACATTCAACCAACTGAGCCACCCAGGTGCCCCCAAAATATACTTTTTTTTTTAAATGTTTTTATTTATTTCTAGGAGAGAGATAGAGAGAGAGAGACAGCGTGAGCAGGGGAGGGTCAGAGAGAGAGGGAGTCACAGACTGAAACAGGCTCCAGGCTCTGAGCTGGCAGTCAGCACAGAGCCCGACGCGGGGCTCGAACCCACGAACTGTGAGATCATGACCCAAGCGAAAGTCGGACGCTTAACCGACTAAGCCACCCAGGCGCCCCCAAAATATAATTTTTAAATGTTGCTCAACTCCAGTTAGCTCATATCACATAACTTCTCTATTCTGACATTTACTGAAGGGGATGGGAAGGAAAGGAGAATAGAAGAAAGGGGACAGGGTGCCTGGGTGGCTCAGTCAAATAAGTGTCAGACTCTTGATTTTGGCTCGGATCATGATCTCATAGTCATGAGATCAGCTTCGTGTAGAGCTCCATGCTGAGCACAGAATTGAGTGCTTGAGATTCTCTTTCTCCCTCTCTCTCTGCTCCACCTCCTCCCTAAAATAAAAAATAAATAAAAAATAAACAAGAGAGGAGGATAAAAGTGATAGACAAAAGGGAAAGAAAATAGGGCATTGTTGTCTCTTGAGGATGGGAGAAAAACACAAATCCATAGATATAGAAAGCAACACATGCAATGAACAATAAATATAAAATTAAACTCTGGGGGCACCTGGCTGGCTCAGTTGGTGGAGCATGTAGCACTTGATCTCGGGGTCATGAGTTCAAGCCCCACATTGGATATAGAGCTTACTGAAACAAAACAAACAAAAACTACATTAAACTCTATTAAAAAGACAGAACCAGGGGCGCCTGGGTGGCTCAGTCAGTTAAGCATCCCACTTTGGTTCATGTCATGATCTTGCATTTTGAGAGTTGAAGCCCTGTGTGTCGGGCTCTGTGCTGACAGCTCAGAGCCTGGATCCCACTTCAGATTCTGTGTCTCCTTCTCTGTCTGTTTCTCCCCTACTCGCATTCTGTCTCACTATCTCTCTCTCAAAAATAAATAAAAATAAAGAATAAAAATTAAAAAAAAAGACAACCATAAAACCATACAGAAGGCCTTAAAGGGAGATGAGTGAAAAGTATCCCCTATCTAGGTATGATGACTAGATCCAACTCCTACTTCACAGGAAAGCAGAAGACTGAGAAACGTGTTAAATGACATTCCCAAAGTATAGTAAGCCAAAATCCAGATGGTAGGGAACTCTGCTGTCAAACAAGTTAGTTTCTTCAACACATAGAACACAAGGAGAAAAAGAAAGACATGGAGAGAGAACAAACAGATTAAAAGAAACTTAAGAAACATGTAAACCAATTGCAACATATGGACTTCATTTGTTTTGAAAAAACTGTAAGTAATTTTAAAGTAAAAACTTAATGAGAACACTGAAAATTTGAACACTGACTAGGTTTGATATTAAAGAAAAACTGTTTAAGACTCAATGAAATCCTTATCAAAAAACCAATCATATTTTTCACAGAATAGAATAAGTCACAGTAAAATCTGTAGCCAAAACCAATCTTGAGAAAGAACAAAGCTGGAGGCATCACAATCCTAGATCTCAAGCTATAATATGAAGCTGTAGTAATCAAAACAGTATGGTACTGGCACAAAATTTAGACACATAAATAAACAGAACAAAATGGAGAGCCCAGAAATAAACCACACCGATGTGGTCAATTAATTTATGACAAAGAGGCAAGAATACACAATGGGGAAGACAGTCTATTCAATAAACAGTGGGAGGAAAATTGGAGAGCTACATTCAAGAGAATGAACCTGGATCACTTTCTTACACCACCCACAAAAGTAAGCTTAAAATAGATTAATGACCTAAATATGAGTCCTGAAACCACAAAACTCCTAGGAGAAAACATAGGCAATAATTTCCTGGACATCAGCCTAGCAACATTTTTCTAGATATGTCTCCTGACGTAAGGGAAACAAATGCAAAAATAAACTACAGGCACTACATCAAGATAAAGAGCTTTTGTACAATGAAGGAAACAATCAACAAAACAAAAAGGCAACCTACTGAATAGGAGAAGATATTTGCAAATGATATCTCTCATAAGGAGTTAATATCCAAAATACATAAAGAACTTATACAATTCAACACCCAAAATACAAATAATTCAATTAAAATGAGCAGAGGACCTGAAGAAATGTTTTTCCAAAGAAGACATACAAATGGCCAACAGACACATGAAAGGACATCACAATCATCCAGGAAATGCAAATCATAACCACCTTGAGATATAACCTTTATACCTGTGAGAATCAAAAAGACCAGAAATAACAAGTGTTGGTGAGGATGTGGAGGGGAAAAAAAAACCCTCATTCCCTGTTGGTGGGAATGTAAATTGGTGCAGCCACTGTAGAAAACTGTATGGAGGTTCCTCAAAAAATTAAAAATAGAAATACCATATCATATGACCAAGCAATTCCAATCCTGGGTATTTACCCAAAGAAAATGAAAACACTGTATCAATTTGAAAAGATGCATGCATCCTGTGTTTATTGCAGCATTACTTCTAACAGCCAAGATGTAAAAGCAACCTAAGTGTCCACTGATAAATAGAAAAGGAAGAATGGTGTACACACACACACACACACACACACATTACACTGCCATAAAAAGGATGAGTTTGAGCCATTTGCAACAACACAGATGAACCTACAGGGTCTTATGCTAAGTGAAATAATCCAGACTGAAAAAGACCAATATTATAGGATTTCATTCATTTGTGGAATCTAAAACCAACAACAAATGAATAAACAAACAAAAACCAGAATCAGGCCTAAAATACAAAGAACTGATATTTGCCAGAGGTGGGGGCGGAGGGAGGGATTTGGCAAAATGGGAGAGATATGCTTCCAGTTATGGAACGAGTAAGTCACAGAAAGAAAATCATAACATAGGAAATATAGTCAATGATAATGTAACGTTCTATGGTGACAGATGGTAGCTTCACTTGTGGTGAGGGAAGCATAATGTACACAGAAACTGAATCACAATGCTGTATACCTGAAGCTAATGTACCACTGTATTTCAGCTATACTCAAATAAAATAATTTTTAAAATAAAAGTTCAAATGTAAAAAAATTTAAATGTTTAAATTTAACTACAATTATCTTAAAAAATAGTTTTTACTAGTTTTAAACACCTTTTCAATTTTCATTGACATGTAAATAGAATTTTTTATAATTGAAATAGATACATAATTTCTGTTCTACTTCTTTTATTAAGTGTGAACATTTTTCTATATAGCCACAGAATTATCGTATCAAGCTCTTTAGTGCTGACCTGTACATAGCACAATTGATTTAATCATTTACATCCCCTCCCCCCAAAACAGCTAAAAATACCATTTTTTAAAAAAAAATTTTAATGTTTTATTCATTTCTAGGAGAGAGAGAGAGAGACAGCGCGAGCAGGGGAGGGTCAGAGAGAGAGGGAGTCACAGACAGAAACAGGCTCCAGGCTCCGAGCCGGCAGTCAGCACAGAGCCCGACGCGGGGCTCAAACCCACGAACCGCGAGATCATGACCTAAGCGAAAGTCGGATGCTTAACCGACTAAGCCACCCAGGCGCCCCTAAAAATACCATTTTTAAATTACTCTTGTCCTCTGAAGTATTTCCCTGGGAAAATTTCTTGAGATAATTATTCAAAGTAAATAAACATGTTTAAGACTTCAGAAAGCCATGTGGCCAAACCATCCATTCAAAACAAAGTTAAATACTGACACTGGCACCAAAAGAAAATCTACTTGTTTACTTGTTTCTATAAAGTCTTAGAAATTCCCATGAAGAACTCTCAGATCAGGTCTTCTCTATTCTATACTTGTACAGCTAGTTTTAAAACTAATCTCGGGGCGCCTGGGTGGCTTAGTCGGTTAAGTGTCCGACTTTCGCTTAGGTCATGATCTCACAGTTCGTGGGTTCGAGCCCCGCGTCGGTCTCTGTGCTGACTGCCAGCTCGGAGCCTGGAGCCTGCTTCAGTCTGTGACTCCCTCTCTCTCTGACCCTCCCCTGCTCACGCTGTCTCTCTCTCTCCTAGAAATAAATAAAAAAAAAAAAATTAAAAAAAAATTAAAAAAAAAAAAAAAAAAACTAATCTCTACACCCAACATGGGGCTTGAACTAACGACCCCAAGATCAAGAGTTGTATGCTCTACTGACAGGTAGAGCACCCCTTGTACAACTAATCATTGAGGCAGAATTTAACACATCATATTACATGTAAATGAAGGACTTTACATTTATATATGTCGAACATCGAACACTCCAACAGTAATTATCTCTCCCAGCTC